TAGCTTGCAATATAAAATTCCACATTGAATCCATCTGGGCCAGGTGAAGCTCTTCTGTTCATTTCCTGTAATGTTTGCCAAATTTCCTGCTTATCTAGAATAGTATAAGTGAAGTCCTGATCTTGGTTCTGAAATGGGAACTGAGTTCCAATGAAAGGCATGCCAGTATTAGCGTTCGGAGATGAAAAAATATGCCTGAAGTAATCAACAAAAGTTTGAGCTATTTTCTCAAGGTCAAAATGAATAATATTATTTTCATCCTTAATGGAAATAATGGTATTTTTCCTCCTCCTTTTAAGTACGGCTTGGTGAAAATAAGAAGTATTTCTGTCACCATCTTTGGCCCAATGCTTTTTAGCCCTTTGACTGTAGAATTCAGTTAATCTGATCATGTTATTTTCATATTGAGAAATAAGAGAAGCCTCAAGTTTATGATCTCGAACCTGTGATGGAATCATCTGAATCTGCTGGATCTTTTGCTCCAAGGAGTTTAATTCTTGTTGGAGAGGCTTCTTTTTCCTGCACCACTTTTTAAGAGCTCCTGCAAGATGTTTAGTTCTAGCACAAAAAGGCTTATTGACAGAATTTCTCCAAACAGATTTCGCATGAGATTGAAAGTCAGATTCCATAAGCCACAAATTCTCAAATTTAAAGTCCTGCCTTGGTTTTTTGTACTGTCCATCAGTGGAGATTAAAATGGGAGCATGATCGCTAAAAATAATGGGCAAGTTGAATACATTAGTATTAGGAAAAAGCTCACACCAGTCTGGATTCACTAAGCATCTGTCCAGTCTCTCATATATGGGCTTAGAGGAAAAACGCTTGTTAGTCCAAGTGTAGGCTGGTCCACTATAACCCAGGTCAAAGAAACCACAAATTTTCAGCATAGAATGAAAGGCATACATCCGATTAGACTTAACATAGACCGAACTTTTCTCCATGTCATACAGTATCTCATTAAGATCACCCATGCATATCATCTTTCCGGGGCTATCATAAATAAAATCAACAATTTGATCCCATATCTGATAAGTCTGGCGATGATAGGGGTCGCCATATATACACACAAGTCCGAATTGCAATCCAGTAGCAGAATTCACCACAGTGGCCAAGATAGTATAAAAATTTGCTAGATGAACTGTAATTTGAACATTATCATTCCACATAAGCCACAATCCCGCAGATTTACCTCCAGATGGAATAAAAATGCTATTATTCATATGAAAACGTGAATTAAGATCGGAGGACTTAACCTTTGATGATTTAATTTCAGAAATGAAGGCCACCTGTGCTTTTGTGGAGTGAATGAGTCTACCAAGGAAGAGCATTTTGTGGTTCATGAGGCCTCTGCCCATGCCTCGACAGTTCCATGCAATGAACTTCATGTGAGCTTAAGTACCTTATAAAGCCTTGCGCCAGTCCTCCAGCAGCCTGTCCAACTTGATAACTTCTCCAATCTGACCAGCAAAGGAACTCAACAGCAGCACCTGGGGCGGGGTGTGTGTGGGGGGGGGAGGGGAAGGAAGAGATCGGATCCAGAGGGGAAAAGGGGGTGGAGGGAAGTCGAGGCTACTGAGGTGTGCTCGGCGAGGAGAACCAAGATGGATCCGGTCCTGCCGACCAAGATTCCGGCTGAGAAGATAACAAGATCTGGGATTGAGCAGCGGAAGATATGATTGGGGATGGGAAAACAGATTGGAGAACAGGAAGATTAGCTCAAGAGGATTAACGGAAGGAGAGACGAGATCAAAGGAAGAGGGAAATCGGCATCACGCCAGTCACCGGCATTCGCCGGAAAGTCTCCACGGTGGGTAAGTCTCTCGAAAGCTCGAGGAATCTCATACAAGGATTCTCCCGTCGGAAAGCAAAAGCACTTGAATAATGGCACGATAGAAAATGATTGACCAGCCAACTAATCCGTGGTTGGATGGTTAGATGAACAGTGATACCTTCAACCTTTTTGTGCGTGTTCTACCTTCATCTCATATTTATTTCCGAATTATTGCAGGATTTTCGATGATACACGTTCAGTCGGAGGGGACATTCCCGTTGAGTACAAAACGTCTTTAATGACTTCGTTAATCTCAGGATGATATGCCGTCACAGTCTCTCATAGATGCTCACAGGGATAGGGCGTGTGTTCGCAGGAGTGAGTGTACACGTGTATATATGAGTGTATGCGTCTGTACCATGTTTAAAAGAAAAATGGTTAACCAAATGCACGTATTTTTTGTGAAATTTGACCAAATGCACGTGGCACTCGGTCCTAGGCTGGCCCACTTTGGCGTTCCGTCGAGCGCTCCTCTAAGCGATTTTCTTTCCTTCCTTCTGGTTCATTGGTTTTCCATTTGTTTTCTATGAAAATACCAGTTGCTTGATTAGTTTTGACAGATTTGCATTAAAAATAACTAAAAAAAAATTTCAGCTGTTTAGAATTGTATTAGAGAATTTAAAAGTGTCTATGTTTTTTAAAATACAAAAAATAGGAAATTTTCATGTTAGAAAATTATCTAATTAGATTTTTTTAATTTTAAAAGTTTACCAACTTTTAATTTTTGTTGTAAAATCCTTAAGTGTATTTCTTAAATATGTGCGTATACTTTAAAAAATGTTGGCGAATTTAAAAAATGTTACCAAATGTTAGAAAAATCATAATTTTTCAGGATAAAAATTAAAGTTATAGAAAATAGAAAAATAGAAAAATAAATAGAATAAAAAACCAAAAAGTCGGTGAAAAGAACATAGAAAATGCCAGAAAAAATTCCGTTCACGTATAAAGAAGAAGAAACTGACCCAAACTTAAGTCTCTAGTTGGGCTGGCCCAAGCTTGTGCAGTTTTTCATTCTTAGCCTGAGCCTTTTTGATCCGGTGCGCGGCCAGGCTGAGCCTGAGACGAAATATACTCCCTCCGTCCTGAAATACTTGTCGAAGAAATGCATAAAAATAAATGTATCTAGAATTAAAGTACGTCTAGATACATCCATTCCTCCGACAAGTATTTCCGAACGAAGGGAGTATAATCATCCCATTCTCACTCCTCTCAAAGGAAAAAAACAGAGAGCATATCCCACTCGGACCTGCCTCTCTAGAAACCCTAAGTTACAAAAAGAGCGAGCGGCGGTAGAACACACACAAAAAGAGCGAGCGGCGGCGGGCGGCGGAGTGTGGAAAGTCGAGGTGACGGCGCCTCGTGAGATGGCGACGGAAGGGGACTCCGGCAAGTCTATGGAGCGGCAGTCTGAAGCTCTTTCTCGATCCCCTTAGATCCAGAGTAAGGTTCCAGTTCGTCCTCCTCGTAACATTAAGAAGGGCGAGCCCATGGATCGAGCCGTCTCTTCCCAGGAACGCAGACTCTTGAGTGGTCTGATCGCGAAACTGGATACAGAGGAGGCAAATCTGAGGGCGGAGATTAATAATTTAAGGATGAAGGTGGTGAAGGAGGGGGCTGAAACGACAAGTGGGGAGGGGTTTTCATTGGCGCTTGGGAAACCTGCATTATGGATCTCCCTCGACGGATACAGACATGAACAATATAGGCTCAGGTCTGCTAAGAAGCGAGGCATAACACCTGATTTGGTGGCAAAATATCCTGAATTAGGCAGCGTGGCGGCTAAAGTGAGGAACAGCCCAAGGATATGGTTCTGGGGACGCAACAGCAGCCTAAGGATATGGCAAACAAGTCTGGCATATTAGATGGTGGTGGTGACGATAGAGGCAAATCTCCTGTCTTAGAGGAGCAGGTGCCAATAGCCGACTGGAAATTCAAACCAGAGATGGAGGTGGATTCAGTGACAGACACCAATGAATCACCGAGGGATTTTTCCATAGTAGTAAACACGGATGAGTCGCCGACGGATTCTATCATATTAAATACAGATGAGTCGCCGACACTAGAACCAGTTCTTTCTTGTGTCCCTGATATCCAGTCTGAGGATGAGTCATCCACACTCCAGCCAGTTCTTTGTTGCGGCCCTGATATCCAGTCTAAGGTTTATGTCCTTCCTCTTCCTCCTCATTTCAGGAAGCAGGAGGATCCAGTTCCCCCTCCTAAGCATCTCTTACAATAGCAGAAGCAACCATCTGTGCATAACCACCATGAGATTTGTCCGCAAGGTACCAATGACGATGTGGCGACAACCTTGGGGCCCTGGTTCCAGAATTTGGACTTGTCCGTATCCAAATTGGTGGAATTGGACAGAGGCGAATCCCTCTCGGAGGAACAGGTCAAATTTCTGGAGACCCAGCAGCTGCCCAGGGATATGGAAAACAAGTTAGACATATTGGATGGTGGTGGTGATGAGACAGAGGTTAAGATGGGCAGAGGCAAATCTCTCAAAGAGAAACAAGTCATGGTTCTGGAGACCCAGCAGCAGCCGATGGATGTGGCAAACAAGTTAGACAAATTGGATGGTGGTGCTAATGAGCCAGAGGTTGAGATGGATGGACGCAAATCCCTCTTGGTGGAACAGGTCGAGGATATGGCAAACAAGTCGCACATATCACTCTCGGAGGAAAGGGAAACCTGGAAGCAGCAGCAGTCTATACTCTTTTCAAAGCTCGAATCCTGTGTGCAGGTGCTCAAAGAGATGATGGAGGCAGGCAGAGGCGCGGTCAACTTCTACCCTGAGATGCAGATTGAAGAGTTGTCAGCAGTGTATCACAGGACAAGTGAAGCAATTCGTAACTTGCACTTTCTTTTAAAGAGTATACCTAATTGGGTGTGGGATGAGGTGGAGGGGAAGCAAATGGCCAAGGCAGGAATGGAAGTCAGAGCGAAACCCTTCATGGAGAAGCAGGTGATTGGTCCATTGCCTCGTGAGACGGATATGGAAGGGGGATCCAGGAAGCAGCAGCAGTCTCAACTTCTTCCTTGTGGCCTTCAGATTCAGAGTAATGATCAGTCTCTTGGCAGTAAGAAGGGGAAACACGGGGGTCGTAAGAAGGGGAAACATGAGGGGCATAAGAAGGGGAAATAAAGGGTTTGTGCTGCTGCTCCATCCATGGATTTTGAGATGGAAGAGGAATCCGGGAAGCAGCAGCAGCTGCCAAGATTTCTTCCCCATGGCTCTGACATCCATAGTAGTGATCAACACATGATCGACCTGAAGGTTGACAAGCAGAAGCAGATGACTGAGGTTGAGATCGACAAGCAGAAGCCGATGACCGAGGTCAAGATGGACAAGCAGAAGCAGACGACCAAGGTTGAGATGGACATACGGAAGCAGATGGCCGAGGTCGAGATGGACGATATGGACATAGGCAAATCAGTCCAGGAATTAACCATGGAGAAGGAGGAGATAGCCGCTGAGGAAGAGGATTTTTCTTGCTACAGAAGGGCCTGGGAATCTAGACGGGGACCCGAGGGGTGCAGTTTCTTCGAAGACACAAGTGAGTTGACATGCATGCACTTTTAATTTTCTTTAGGTAGCTAGTTTTCAATTCCTCCCATCCTTTTACCTTTGGTTGATCGATCTTCCTTGTACAAGCGGCAAGGGAATATATTTGCCCTTTTGCTTATCTAAGACTAGTTCATGTTTGATTTCTAACACATGCTTCTCCTTGGTGCTTGCATGCAGCACAATTGAGCTCCATGCACTTCACACACTTGACACCTAAACCCAGCTTAGACGATGCTATCGTCGCGGAGACCTTGCAGATCCTCTCCATTAAACTAACAGAAATTAAAGGTGGCTTCAAATTGCCATTGTCTGTGTATGGTGTGGTTGCTGCTCGGGACAGTGTCGATAACAATCGCAACCTTCTCTTCGCGCACAGTAGGATAGCGCCCCAAAGAATCAGGCAACACGTACGTATAGTATCTTTGCTTTCATTTTTTTGGGGGTATATTTCTTCACATGTCTCCCTGAGTTTTTTTTTCATCTCTTGTTGATTAGTAGTTAACGGGGTGATTGACGAATGCTTGCAGAATCCATATTTGCGCTTGATTGGGCCGTCTCGTGCAATTCTCTGCAGAGACCCTGTTCGCTTTGAAATTCAGCTAAAAGTTGAACGTGGAGCAGTGTCTCGAGATAGAGCATTGATCAGCGCAACTCGCGATTTCTACGTTCGTCATCCTGGTGTGCATACCATCTGCTTCGAGAACCGCTTCTGCAAAATAGAGTTATGCGTCGAGCGGCTTGTGGAGACGATCCAGGCCACGATCTGCAGTGTCCGTGTTGTTAAACAGGGGACACGGCAGCGTGTTGAAAGTCGATGCCGAGTTTCTTGCTCGACAACATCATACTCACGCAAGATCATCGATGGTAAACCTACTTATGTTGCTAATGCCCCATCTGGTGAAGTTGTGCTGCTTGATCGTTTAAAAAAACCAATGCCCAGTGGTTCAGAGGGCTACCTTGATCTGTCGAGGCGTGTGGTCTCTGTAGAGCATGAAGGCAGCCTGAAAGTTGTCGTACAGACTTGCTCGTCATCCGGTGATATCATCGCAGAAGGACATGTCTCCTTGGCATCCGAATATTTTGGCTTCAGCCAGAAGAGATTTAACGTTGATGATGCTGAGCTGGAGGTAACCGTTGCTTGGTCCCTCCTTGTTGTGGACAAGGATGATATCTTGAGACCGGTGGCTGTTTGAAACCTCCGAGCACTGCTCACGCGGAGGCAATGTATTTATCTGAGGATCCCGGCTGGACAGGGCTGTGTGTCCATTCGGCTTGTTGAAGTGTGCTATCGGTTAGCTACATAGTATATCTGAGATGTCCAACTGTCGATTTTGGGCATCGACTATATATAATATAACTTATGTTGTGCGAGTTGACCCTGACTTCAAAGTTAATGTTTTGTTGTGTGATTGGTGTGGTATATATAACTCATGCTATCAGACTATTTTATTATCGACTGTAACTTTACAGTTATGTTGTCAACTGTATTTTGTCTTGTCTGGTTTTTGTGTATGTGTTTTGTTGTCTTAGCACATTTGTTCTGGTAGCACTTTGAACGGTTCATACAATTCTTTAGGAAACACTAATATGACATCAGATTTTTGGCGGTTTAGAGATCGGGAGCGCAAATCTTGCCGCATAGGCCCTGCCATGTCACGATTTTCAGTCATTCGGTCGTGAACTCGTGATAGCATAGGCCCTGCCACGTCATGATTTTCAGTCGTTCGGTAGTGAACTCGTCATATGTCTCAGCGCGATATTGCCCAACGTAGACATATTCTCATTTTTTGTCGGTTTAGTGTTTGCTCGGACCCATTTATGTCTTAAATTTGTGTTAGATTTAGGTCGGAGCTGGACACAAACCAGAGGTATTCTCTGTCCATTCGCATAACCTTTTTTTCTCTCTTTTCTATCTGCCATGCTCGCCGTTCCGCGCTCGGCGTGCCGTCCGCGCCGTGCTGGCCGTGCCTCGTCTCGCCTACGCGCTTCTCCATGCTCACCCTGCTGCGCCGCGCCTCTCTCTCCCCCTCGCCCTAAGCCGCGCTCGCCATGCCATGTCGCCCCCGTCGTGTCGTGCCTCGTCGCGCTGGTGTGCGGTTTGAGCTCGACCGCCGACGTGCTCCTCCGAGCTCGACCTGCCGCGTCACGCCTCCCCTCCCCGCTCGCCCTGGCCACGCCGCGCCGCTCGCGGACCTCAGAGGAGCAACTCGCCTATTGCTGCTGCCGGTCTCCCCGCTCACGGCCAAGATGCAGCGTGCAACGACCTTCCAGTGCCGCGCCGAGCCGGGCAAGCCACCGCACCCCGACCTCGCGGCGCCGCTCCTTCTCGACTACGATGCGGTCGTCCCTCCCCTGTCGTCCCGACCATGGTCAACGTGCACCGGCGCCGTTCCTCGCTGCGAGCTCCGATTGCTAGGTGTTGATGAAGTGTTGGAGCGGACACGTCACAAAATGGAGCAGCACCGTTGGGTACGAAAACTAAACACTTTTGCTCTTATTTTGGACTCTAATTTGCATGATTTGAATGGAACTAACCCAGACTGATGTTGTTTTCAGCATAATTGCCATGGTGTTCTTTTTGTGCAGAAATAAAAGTTCTCGGACTGAGCTGAAACTTTACGGAGATTATTTCCAGAATATATAAAAATACCGGCACAGAAAAATACCAGAGGGGGGCCACCAAGGCGCCGCAAGCATAGGGGGCGCGCCTAGCAGGCTTGTGGGCCCCTGGCAACTCGCGCAACCCTAACTCCAACTCCATAAGTATCTATTTGTCCAGAAAAAAATCAGAGAGAAGGAATCATCACGTTTTACGATACGAAGCCACTGCCATCATCTCCTGTTCTTCATCGGGAGGGCTGATCTGAAGTCCATTCGGGGCTCCGAAGAGGATTATTCGGCACCGTCGTCATCATCAACCATCCTCCATCATCAATTTCATGATGCTCACCGCAGGGAGTGAGTAATTCATTTGTAGGCTTACTAGACGATGATGGGTTGGATGAGATTTATCATGTAATTGAGTTAGTTTTCTTAGGGCTTGATCTCTAGTATTCATTATGTTCTGATATTGATGTTGCTATGACTTTGCTATGTTTAATGCTTGTCACTAGTGCCCGAGTGCCATGATTTCATATCTGAACCATTTTTTTTCATGAATATATTTGTGTTGTTGATCCTATCTTGCAAGTTGTATGCACCTATTACGTGTTATGATCCGCATACCCTAAGATGACAATAATTGAGATTCTTTTCGGTGATTACCGTAGTTTGAGGAGTTCATGTATATATTCACTATGTGTTAATGCTTTGTTCCGGTTCTCTGTTAAAAGGAGGCCTTAATATCCCTTAGATTTTCTTATGGACCCCGCTGCGACGGAGGGGTAGGACAAAAGATGTCATTCAAGTTCTCATTACAAGCACGCATGACTATATACAGAATACACGCCTACATTATATTGATGAATTGGAGCTAATTCTGTCTCGCCCAAGGTTATGACTGTTACATGATGAATGTCATCCAACATAATTATGCACCATCGATCCAATGGCTATGATTTTCTCATATTGGTTTTTGCTAAGTTACTTTCGTCACTGTCGCTGTTACAATTACTATAAAACTGCTACTGTTACCGTTACTATTGCTACCGTTACCGCTGCTATCAAACTATCGTACTAATGTGCTACTGATCACTTTGCTGCAGATATTTAGTTCTCCAGGTATGGTTGAATTGACAACTCAACTTCTAATACTTGCAAATATTCTTTGGCTCCCCTGGTGTCGAATCAATAAATTTGAGTTGAATACTCTACCCTTGAAAACTGTTGCGATCTCCTATACTTGTGGGTTATCAAGACCTTTTTTGGCGCCATTGCCGGTGACCATAGCCCTATTTGCTGAGTCATTTGGGATTTATATATGTTGATCACTATGAAGACGAGGGGAGGTAAGGAATTGCCATCTAGCTCTGCACCTGATTCACCTTGTATTTTGAATAGGCTCGCGACAGCACCACCTGCTGTTAATTCTGATATATAGCAAGTAATTGATGATGCTACTTCTGCTATGAATGATGCTTATGATGATTCTAGTACTATGCTTGATGAAACTGTGCCACTAGGTGAATTTTTTTATGAACAACTTCCTAAAGCTAAACAAACCGAAAATGCTAAAACTGATGAGAATTATGATTCACCTATTAGAACTAGCTCTCCTAGAATTGAAATGCCTAAGGTACCTGAGGGTTATGTTATGGATGGGGACATAGCCAGAGAATTTCTTGCTTTTAATGATAGAGAAGATTTAAGAAACTACTATGTAAGCTTAAAGAAAATAATCTATGATGAAGAAAATGAAGCATGATCCTAAGTTTGCTATTCTCCGTTCTTTGTTACTGATAAGGATTATGAATTCTCTGTCAATCTTGAGTTAATTAATTTAGTTGAATCTGATCCTTTTCACGGTTATGAAACTAAAACTGCCGCGGCACACCTTACTAAATTAAATGATATAGCCACCCTCTTTGCTCATGAGGAAAAGATTCGCTACTACTATATTCTTAAGTTGTTTCCTTTCTTGTTAAAGGGTGATGTTAAGATATGGTTTAATACTCTTGCTCCTGGTTGTGTGCGTAGTCCCCAGGATATGACATATTACTTCTCTGAAAAATATTTTCCAGCTCATAAGAAACAAGCTGCCTTACAGGAAATATTTAACTTTGTGCAAATTAAAGAAGAGGATCTCCCTCAAGCTTGCGGGAGGCTTCTCCGGTCACTTAATGTAGGATCGAAAGTATGTCTAGAGGGGGGGGGTGATTATACTACTTGACCAAATAAAAATCTAGCCTTTTCCCAATTTTAAGTCTTGGCAGATTTTAGCAACTTAGCACAAGTCAAGCAATCAACCTACACATGCAATTCTAAGAGTATAGCAACGGAATGTAAATCATTGAATATGAAGGTAAAGAGGAGGAGTTTAGAGGGAGCAAACGCAATGTAGACATGAAGATTTTTGGCGTGGTTCCGATAGGTGGTGCTATCGTGCATCCACGTTGATGGAGACTTCAACCCACGAAGGGTAACAGCTGCACGAGTCCATGGAGGGCTCCACCCAAGAAGGCTCAACGAAGAAGCAACCTTGTCTATCCCACCATGGCCATTGCCCACGAAGGACTTTCCTCACTAGGGTAGATCTTCACAAAGTAGGCGATCTCCTTGCCCTTACAAACTCCTTGGTTCAACTCCATAATCTTGACGGAGGCTCCCAAGTGACACCTAACCAATCTAGGAGACACCACTCTCCAAAAGGTACTAGATGGTGTGTTGATGATGACCTCCTTGCTCTTGTGCTTCAAATGATAGTCTCCCAACACCCAACTCTCTCTCACAGATTTGGATATGGTGGAAAGATGATTTGAGTGAAAAGCAATTTGGGGAAGGCTAGAGATCAAGATTCTTCTGGTAGGAATGGAATATCTTGGTCTCAACACATGAGTAGGTGGTTCTCTCTCAGAAAATGAGTAATGGAAGTGTAGGTTCGTTCTGATGGCTCTCTCCAGGACTGAAGAGTGGGTGGAGGGGTATATATAGCCTCCAGACAAAATCTAACCGTTACACACAATTCACCAAACTCGGTGGGACTGAATAGTTAAACTCAGTCAGACCGATTTAGTTCAAAATTTGAACGTTAGGGTTTTCGGTGGGACCGATATGATCAACTCGGTGGGGCCGATTTCGTTAGGGTTAGGGCATAACGTAATCTCGGTGAGATCGATCACATGATCTCGGGGAGACCAATTTCAGTAAAAGGCAAACAGAGAGTTGGTCAGGCAAACTCGGTGGGATCAATTCGCTCATTTCGGTGAGACCGAAACATTACGTAAGGGAAATAGAGAGTTTGCATTGCTAACTCGGTGGGACCGATCGCTCACTTCGGTTAGACCGAAACATTACGAAGGGAAACAGAGAGTTAGCAATTCCATCTCGGTGAGACCGAGATCCCTATCGGTGAGACCGAACTGATTAGGGTTTCTGGCTATGGCTATGTCAAATGAACTCGGTGGCGCCGGATGAATCAAATTGGTGGGGCCGAGTTTGACTTTAGGTTTAGGACAAATGTGGAATGTGAGAAGTAGCTGAGGGTTTTGGAGCATATCACTAAGCATTTTGAGCAAGCAAGCCATTAAGCAACACC